CTCCACAGCGGAGCTTGCCCTGTTTATATGCAGCAAAGTGTTACATATACATGAAGTTTCCCAATACGCCTGTACGTATGCATAACCTGTCCCCTCATATTAAAATTAGCTTCAGGAGGTCATTTCCGTAAGTCCCACCCGACTGCGCTTACTCAGTGCCTCCTGGTGGTGGTCGTCGGCGGTCGTGGGGATGAAGGCTGATGGCTCCTCTTTGTCACCGCCAGTAACCCCTTGTTCTTGCACAGGCTCAGTTGCTCCCTTGCTCTTGCCCAAACTGCAGGGTTGGTTTAAGCCAGTTCTTAAGGCAAATTCCTGGTTCTTATCAAGAACTGTCCTTCGTAAGGAGCCGCAAATCTTCCTGCATCAGTTAGTTCGCACAATAGTTAGCAAAACATTTGAGCACTCTCTATCGATTTGGTTCTCTGGGCTACACAGCAGCCTAGACAATTACTACGCAGCATCTCATCTACTACGATTCCCTTAACCCCTTCTCTCAGAACGGTCTTTTAGGAGACTTACCTTACTGATGCTTTTCCAGGTGTGGTTCATGATAGCTTTAATACCATCTTGCTCCTGCAAGAGGGCCCAGATTTCTCATGGCCTGTGGAAAGTCAGGTCACGTATCAACAGTGGAATACGATGTATAAAAAGTGCCTTTCAAATTTTTTGTTACTAACATCTTAATGTCTATCAATTTATGTCAATGGTAGTTACTGAACATCTTAACTTAAAATTGTTTTAAAGCCGCTTCAGCCTGTGACTCACTTTCCAGACGAATACCTTGTCCACTTTTCTAGGAAACTGTAGGGTGGCTTTTATTCAGCATCTTGCGCTGCTGTGGTCTGACATGATACATGCCAACATACGGGCCTTGAAATCTTTCAGCTGAGATGTTTCACAGGCGCCTTTCCGTTTGGGCAGGGAGGCAAACGCATGGCGAGCGGTAGCCTTGTGACCCACCGCCCCCATCGCCCCCCTGCTGTGATGTCTTTCAAAATCATCACCTCTTTTGTCTTTCTCGATGGCCTGGGCTCTTCGCCCTGTGTTTGGGGACATCCCAGTCTCAACCTGGCTTTCACGTTAGTCGGTCCTTTTCGTTTCCTCTATACATACGTTCCCTATTAACTATTTTAGGGATTCAGCATCACTAAACCACGGCTGGGACTGCCCCGCGGCGAACCTGCCCGAGGCTCTGGGGAGGCCGGGCCCAGCCACCTCTACCTGGTTGGGCCGAGGCGTTCGCGCGCACCCAAAAGTCTCGGGTGGCCCCGAAGCACCTCCTAAACCGGACGACGCGCAAATCCTCAGGGAGAGGGA